ATTGGGACATTCCGAGCGGTTGCTGCCACTTAAACAGAATGAGTTTAGTTTTACGCAAAAAAAATTGTGAGATAGACAAACGTAGCAGAAAGACAGTAATACTAGACGACAAAGAGAGTTAAGGGATTTAAAGTGTGCGTGAGCTTATGAGCAAAAGTTTTGAAAAATAGAGACGTTCCACTTCCACCTCCCAAGCACTATTGTACCAAAGTTTTAATCGTATCTTTTATTTCTTTCTTTTCTTGTCATGAAACATAGTTGGTAGTTCTAGGTCAGGGATCATTTTGTTTTAGTAATTTTACTTGATTCCGCGAAATTCAGGCTAAACAAAATGGGGTTTTTGAAAGATTAGCGAAATTATAGTTTTTATAAATTAACTGAGAATGTTACTTTTTGCGCCAAGCATCATTTGATTAAGGTATCCGAATTTTCTTTGCAGTCGGTTTCAATTTTCGCCATTTTAGGTCAATTTCATTGCAACCCTACACATTCGTCATAGACAGAAAAAGAAAGATGTTTAACAGCTGTTATTCAAAAAACTACAGCTCAAAAGAGTAATCAATAGTAGCAGAGCTTTAGCCTTCTAAGCTCAAAAATCGTTGTTCAACACGATACAATAGAAGGGCAAACAATGTGACACCAAACAAAAAGTCTCAAACCCGAAACAAAAAGTGTTAAATAGGTGAACAGAAATCTATAGAAGCACTGAGAAGATGGACAGGCGGTGATCGGCTAAGTGAAGGGGTGGATGGGGTGGGACGGTGTAATATCGCTCTGAGGCCACATCACATATGTTTCCAGACAAACCTCATTACGCGTCGTCAAACCAACATGTGGACGCGCACATTAATTTACAAAATCATGTCTTTAAATTTATTTCAGGCATCTACTGTAAGTTTGAATGGCGCCCTGCGTTGATCAGGGCTGACCCCATCAGTTACAGAGTCAACAGTGTAAAAAAATGTTCAGGCGTAACTTTGTGGTGGGTACGCTGGTGTCACACTTTGATCAAAATTAGATGAAAAGTTTATTTCCTAAATAAACTTTGATATTACATCAAAGAGAGCCAAATTGGAGCCAACATATTAGCGATGGCTAGGCGTGAATAGTGCAAAAACGACTATTTACCTAAAAGATTTGAGCGTCAATTTCCCACTTTTAGAAACCCGTTTTTATGGATGAAGGAAGGAAGATGGGTCAAACACACTGATGTTAAAAGTTTATGACAATATACTTTTTTTTTGAACAACTATAAATTGAAAATTATAGAAAATAAAGTAGGCCTGAAACATTTAATCAGTTTAAAGAAAAAAGCGTAATTGT